ATAGATAGATAGATAGATAGATAGATAGATAGATAGATAGATAGATAGATGATAGACAGACAGACAGACGGACAGATGATAGATAGATAGATAGATAGACCAATAGATGAATAGATAATAGATAGATGAATGAATGGATAGATAGATGATTGATAGATAGATAGATAGATTATAGATAGATACACAGACAGACAGATGATAGATAGATAGATAGATGATAGATAGATAGATAGATAGATAGATGATAGATAGATAGATAGATAGATAGATGATTGATAGATAGATAGATAGAAAGATGATAGATAGATAGAAAGATAGATAGATAGACAGACAGACAGATAGATAGACAGATGTGGTAGAGCTGAAGGAAGTTGAGCAATTTGGGCAAAAGGGCAAAGCACAAGCTCTACTCATTTCTGTCCAGTCCATGCTAGAAATAAAACACAGAGCAGGGCAGGCCCCTTCCTCCAGGGCAGACCCGCTGTCACTTTGGGCCTAAGTGCTCTGGACCTCACTTAGCATCCTTCTTTGACACAACTCTCTAACCGCCTCCTGGAACCAGCGCTTAGATCCGCAGTCATTGACTGTCCACTCCACCACAGTGAGACTTCTAAACCAGTGGGGGAAGTGAACTTCCCCTTCTGCTGTCCTCATGTTCAGGTACAGGGATAAGCAGGATGGGGGTACGGGTCTGCAGGTCTGAGCAATTCAATGACCACACTCTTATATTCTAGTGGGAGCCATTAGAGAGGGTGACCTGGAAGTCTCTTCAAGCCCAAGATGGACAGTAATGGATCTCTAAGGGAAGGCGCTCCATGATTACTGCCAGGTGTTTGGGAGGGGTAAGGCTGAAAACCAAAGAGATTGTCGGAAGAGACAGTTTGAGGGCTCTCCTGGTTTGAAAATAATTTCCATGCTGTCCCAGCCTAGGGTTTGTGTGCCAAAAGCTTGGTCCCCAAGGTGGTAGTGTTGAGATGGTGGTGGGAGTGATGTTTTGTGTCTAGCTATGACACTGGGGACATTGCCTGCCACTGAGATTAATGTAGTTCTTGTAGGACCCTAATTAGTTCCTGCAAGTTGTCATTTAAAAATGCAACCCTGGTGTCGGAATCCTGCTTCCTGCCCTGTCAGGGCTGTGTTCTCTGGGAGGCGCTTTAATGATGAATAAGTCAGCTTCCTCCTTGACTTTAGATAGTCTTGAGCTGAGCACTCACCTCCACTTCCCTCAGGTAATGCACCGCAAGTGCATTAGTGAGCAAGAACTTGTGTGTGTGTGTGTGTGTGTGTGTGTGTGGTGTGCATGCGTGGGTATGTGGGTATGTGTATGTATGTGTTCATCAAGTGCATTCATTCACATGCGCTCAAGTGTGTGTGTGCATGTGTGTGTGCGTGGGTATGTGTATGTATGTGTTCATCAAGTACATTCATTCGCATGTGCTCATGTGTGTGTATGTTGGTGTATGTGTGCAGTATGTGGGTATGTGGGTATATGTATGTACACATGCATGTGTGTCTCTGTGCATTCATGTGTGTGTGTGTGAACTCAGGGGCATTCATGCTCTTCCTGGTCTTCAATAAGACTTCCTTCTCCCTCTTGGCAGCTTTTCTCTCTTTACACAATTATCTCCTTCCTCATAACTATTTCTTTTAGCAGGTCTTTTTCTTTTTCTTTTTTCCTGTCTCTGTTATTTGGTTGTTTCATTTCCATAGAAACTCAGCCCTGGAACATATCATCAGGATGATCTAGTTCAGCCTCATCTCACAGGTGAGCAGACTAAGGCCCAGAGAGCACAAGCTGCATTTCATTCCAGTGAGACACAGAACGGGAAGAGGAGGATGTTCACAGAATGACCTGACTCAGGGCACTGGCTGGGTTTCTAGGACTTGACGTCAATGGAGCTTCTTGGGGTGGCAAGTTCTTCTCGCACCCCAGAGCGCCCCAGAAGCCCAGTAATGTGGGTAATTGTGAAAGACTCTGAGGTCCCCCAGGAACAGGATGCCTTTGCCTCTGACCTTTTCAGAGTTTTGGGTCTGAGCAAGCACAGCATGTTTCTTGCTCTACTCCCTGGCAGTTTGGTGTCATCCAGAGAAGCCTCTCTCCTAACCTAGGCCGATTCCCTATCTTGTTGCACAGTCTTTCTTTGGCAAGCAATCTCCTGCTTACCCAGCAGCAGGGTGCCTCACTCTGCCTCTCCTGGGTGTCACTTGATGCCATCTGATTGGCCGTGAGTAGAAAGTCACTGTCGGGCTGCATTTGGAATCCTGCTACAGCACTTCCATCTCCAGAGGAACTGGGCCATGACCCATCCACATCTGCATACAGTGCCTGCCAAGTCATGACATGTTGAAGAGGCCGATGAAGATGACTCCTTGGGGACTACTGGATATTTGTGGCCCAGGACTTCTCCCTAAAGGGACAAAGTAAGGCAAATTCAAGTGGCCTTGGAACTATGGAATATTAGCATAGAATGGAAACTGAGAAATGATCTAGATGGGTCCAGTGGGTACCAGATTTAAGATCTATCGAAATCACCTTGGCATGGGGACTGTTAAAAATTCAAAGGCCCCCCCCCCAAAAGGGATGGTGATTTACCTGTGTGTGACAGAGCTCGGGAAAATGACTCTCCAGTAAGCACTGTGGTTCAGAGTCATATTTCTTCAAGCACGCCTCCCAACACTGTAAAGATGGGTGCTAAAAGTGAGGCTTGGGGAATCCCCCACCTGCAGGTCCTCTGCCCAGGGGAGAAAAGCCATAGCTCCCCACCTTGTAGCCAGGAACTGATAACTGCTGCTGCATCCCAACATGCCCTGCTTCCCCTTCGATTTCTGGGATACTTCCTATGGTGTGTCCTACCCCACTCAGTGACAAGTGAGAAGGGCCCCAGTAGAGTACCTGGGGCAAAAGGGGGAGCATACTGGCAAAGGTCGGGGTGATACAGGTTAGGGACTGTCTGGATAGTGAACATGACTTCAATTCCTTAATAACCCTACCATTACCGAGACAGAGCATCCGGTCAAATTCTGTTGAAGAGCCCCCAGCCACCTGTCAGCCTGTTAAATGTGCAGCCAGTCCGCCACCGAATAAAACACAGCACAAGCTTCTGTCTCGGCTATTTTTTTTTCTCCAGCCTAGCCAACCCTTCTCCACCTTCCTCTTCCCTCGTCACCTGTATTTTACTCCTTGCTGTGGTACGTGGCAAAATATAGGGAGAGCGCTTCACCCAGAAGTTGCATTCTTGGCCAATCTCAAACTTGTTTGACTCCTTTGGTTACCAGCTTTGCAGTGTGTCTTTGTGCAAACACCAAGGCGACTGAGATGTCAAACCTTCTTGCCTCAGTGGCGTCCCCAGCCCTCAAAGGGATGCCAAGGACTGTCGCATACATGTGAGCGCCACCGGGGGCATTTACCGTTTTCGGGTAGAAATGTCGTTTTAAAGGTGGTTTTATCTTTCAATTGTCGTTCCCCTTTAAAATTTAAATAGCCGTTGACTCTCCCCTGCCTGGTGTGCAATTTCAAGTCATTTCCTCTTGCAGGTTTGCCAAAAATCTCACGAATGAGAAGATGTTTTATATCTTCAGCCGAAGTTTTCTTCCACGCACAGACGTTAATCATCGAACATCAAGAAAAGGCAGATAGACGAGCCAAAGCCACCATCATAAATTACAGTTCAAGGCGCTCAGATAGAGAAAAGTCAACATCTCTGTGAGCCACCTCAGATCCCTTTTGGAATTGGACGGAGGCATAAATCTCACGTTATAAATAAATGAGACATCTCTACACTGCGTTACACTAACGCCGTAAAAGACACACCGCATTTCCCCCTCTCCTAAGGAAGCATGAATGTGGACCAGAAGGAGAAATGACTGATGATACACACAGCTTTGCGAAGTGAAGGTGACTTTGACACAGGAATCAAGGAGTCAGAAAGTTCAAATAACTGTAACGCCTGAGAGCCAATTAAAAAGGCAGATTCCACTGATGGGAAAATGCCCAGGACAGCTCATTCATTCGAATCACACTTTCAAGAATGTCACTCCTACAGTGAGATTTCTAGTGCAGAGGAAGCCGTGGCAGAAAGTCTGGTGATGAAATAAAACTCGGCCCTGGGGGTACGGGAAACCCTACACATGCATTGTGTGAGTTTATTCCAGGGCCACTCCCCAAGCTGTGCCTGGTGGAGACTGAGGTTGTCCTGCTACAGAAGTGTGGGTGTGCATGTGTGTGAATGTGTGGGTGTGTATTCATGTGCACAAGTGTGTGATAGAGATATTCAAAAGGGGCTAAGTAAATGCTGCAGGACTGAATGTTGAGATGGCATTTACGTTGATGGAGAACAGACACAGAGAGTCCATGCCTATGTATAAGATACTTCCAAATTTTATGAGTTTGGGGCCAAATTTAGCATTTTATCATACTTTAGCCATTGAGAGTGATTTTATTGTCATTTTATAGGAGACATGTTATTTTACTCATAAAAATATGGTGTACATTTATTGGAACTAATAGAAAAATCATAATTCTGCAGATGCCACAATAGTGCAATAATCCCAGGCAAAGGAATAAGACCAGATGGCTAACATGAAATATATTGACATCAATAAATACAAAAGCACAACAAAGTCACTGATGGATGAAATCCTGCGTCCTTTATGTGATACTATAAATGCAAATCACAATCTTGCTCCATAGGAAATGCTGGGACCTGAAAAGGCAGCCGTAATAGAAAAGAGATTTGATGGATGATCACTGCATTCTCGACAGAGTAAATATACCAGTAAATCTGGAAAAACAGCAGCCAGCAAAGGACAATACTCTGGGAAGGAATTCATAAATGCGAAGCTGAACTGACCAGAAACAGAACAAAAATGATCATCAGAAGAAGGCTTTAAACTAACTAGCAAATGGAAAAATTCCAAAGCCATGGTCATGGAAAGACTAACAGTTCCAACTGGGAATAAATGAGAAACCCGAGGTCACTGCCTTGATGCTGGATGCTGTTATCATGGTCATGATCTGCTGGCTTTAAGTTACAACTTATGTGGATTCATATTTATATGTATGAAGCTAGGGCAATAGCATGAATCTACTGACTTTTTTATATTTCTTTTACCTGTGTAAGTGTTTTGCTTACTGTGTGTGTATGTGTGTGAGTGTGTGTGAGTGTGTGTGTGTGTGTGTGTGTGTATGCACATGTGCATGTGGTACCCATGGAGGCCAGAAGAGAGCACCAGATTCTCTGTAACTGGAGTTATAGGTGATTGTGAGCCTCCATGTGGGTGTTGGGTACCAATCAGAACTCTTCACCACTGAGCCATTTCTCCAACTCCCTGAATCTATTTCTTATGCACTATGATGTGGGCTGGCTTCACCATTTGGAGAGGCAAGTCCAGTACTGTCCGTTTCCCTACCACACCTTACACTGTAGGGCAGCCTTGCTTAGTGACTATAATAAATAGATGCCTACTGGGTATAGGGGGACCACAAGTATCAAGAGTGTAGGGGGTGACATATATCATGAGCCAACAGATCTAGAATTTTTGGAGAACTGTAATGATGCCCGGTATATTACAAGAAGTGTGTCCATCATTTTAATAACCTTTTATCAAAAAGGATCTTAACTATCTAGGAGTCAAGAAATCCCATTTTTGAGTAAAATGCCTGAAGTCTGTTTAGCACACTACAATTGGTTGACCTTTTTTTTCCCAAAAGCAAAGAGAATCCTGACTGGTTGCTCTGCTGGGACAGGTTGGTACCCAGAGCAGAAAGCCACTGGATGCAGAAGTGACTATGAATAGGCCCTATGTGACATTGAGAGCGGCCATGATGGAAGAAGTCCCGCTTGGGTCGGGATGTAAATAATGGTGTATTGAGCAGTGCTTACCAGTGAACAGATCTGATAGTAAGTAGAAAGATTGCCACAATTGGCCCAATAGTGTTCCAGGAGGCAACTGGTAAACTCCTCAGGAATTTATGTCTAGTTTGCCTCGCAGCTGTAGCCTCCAGCCACCTCTACAGGAAGAAGGTGGGTGCTCTCTGCCAATCATTATCTGGAAATCCCAAAGCAATAAGAAGAAAAACAAGAAAATCTCAGAACCACAATCCAATTTCTTCATCCCACCATCAAATCTGCGTCTCCTTGGGACTCTACACAAATTGAGCACAATGGGCAATTTAACACAAATTGAATAATGATAGATATTTCTGTCCCTGGCATACCAATTGTAATTATATGGTATATGTCATTTAATCCTTTCTGACTTGTAAGACAATGAAATATAGGATTTAGAGTTTCTTATTAAAATGCATCACTGGGGCAGGCAAGACGACTGAGCAGGGAAAAGTGTTTGCCACACAAATCTGACAACCTGGGTCGCTGGAAACTCATCACCTTCTGCTAAGATTACAACATTGTGAAGTGCCAGGGGGTGGTGGTTTGAGAGAAAATGACCCCCAAAGGGAGTGGCACTATTAGGAGGTGTGGCCTTGTATCGTAGGTGTGGCCTTGTATCGTAGGTGTGGC